GTTCCGCGGCTTCACCGGCGCCCTCAAGCAGCTGGACGCGGAGATCAAGGCGGATCGGGAGAAGGGCTTCCGGGTGAGCCGCCGCCAGCCGGGAGGGGACCCCAGCGCCCGCCCTGGGATGCAGCCCGGGGCGATGCCTGGCTGCTCCGTGCTGCATCTCTCCCCGCAGCCGGGAGCCGGGAGCCGCTGACAGCAGCAGGAGGGTGGCTGCCGGGGGGGTCCCCTGCTTTACCTGGGGCGGGGGGAGGTTGAGCTTAGATGATGGTTTGGAGAGGGATGATCCTGCCCCAGGCAGCAGGGTGTTGGGCTAGGTCAGCGTTTCTCAACCCGCGGGTCACGACCCAGCAGCGGGTCGCGAGAATGTATGAAAGGGTCAGAAACAGACTTTAGAAATGGATTCTCCTTTCCAGGGAGAAAAAACGTGGGGAACGAGGGCTTTTCCCTGTGCAGGATGGCAGAGTTGCAGCCTGTGAGGGGCTGCTTCCCTTCCCCCCCTCCTGCTCTACACACCCATCCCCTGCCCCATACACCCCGGGGGGCAGGAGGCAGCAGGTCGGGAGTGCGGGGCACTGGGTCAGGGCTGGCCATCAATATTTACAAATGGGTCCTGGTCCAAAAAAGATTGAGAAGCACTATAATAGATGACCTCTGGAGGTCCCTTCCAGCCCTATTTCTCTGTGGCTCTATTCCATCCCTGCTAATTAGGTCCCTAATGGGCTTCCTGGAGTCTTCAGCTTTTCTCTGGCCCTTGGTGGAAAAGGGCAGGCTTTTTAGCCTGCTTCTGGTTTGGGGGAAATGCTTCCTCAGCCAGCACGTGGCTGCAGTGGGCCTTGCTTGAAAGCATGTGAGCCTGACTTTTCCTGCCAGTGCTGTTATGTGTCTGTCTTTGTAGAGCACTTTGCTTCCTTGAGGCTTTACAAGCTAAACTCCAGATGTAGTAAAGCTGTGAGGCTGACCAGGCCAGTGGCAAGTGGAGGAGATGCAGTCGCTTGTATATGTGGGTGCTGAGCCTTTAGGATGTGAAAGACCAAGACTGTGAGCTGGAAGAGATGGAGGAAGGAGGAGGATGGTAGCAAGGTCATCTTTCTTGCGGAGGGGGCAGGGAGAAAGGGAAGCGTTTCACTGGTTACACATTTGTTCCTGTACCTAATGAGTTAGAGCAGGGGTTTTCAACCGGGGGTATGTGTATCCCTGGGGGTACTTCGGAAGGCCTCGGGGGGTACTTGGCAGTGTGTGCTGCCGCCACCACCATTTCCGCGCCACCGGCACTCCTGCTGACACTTCCACTGCTAGCACTTTTGCTGTTGCCATGCTGCTGGCACGCTGGCTGATCACTCCCACACTGCTCGTGGACCTGCCGCTGGGGGACTCCTTCCTTCTTGACTGGCCGCCGGGGGTATACTGACCCAAAAAAGTTGAAAACCCCTGAGTTAGAGTACTGTAGGCTGGAAAGAGCAAATATATGGAAACTGGTCTGATCTCTTTGCTTGGGAGAGCAATAGGATTTCTTAATGAGCTACAGATGCCCTCATACTACATACTATACAGGGTTAAGGATCCTATATCCTACCATGCTGGGTCAGACCACAGGTCTATCTGGCCCAGTAGCTTGTTTCCCATTCTGGCCTGTATGGTCTGCTCAGTGTCCCCCCTTGGAGCACTTGTTATCAACCTCTGACCTTCACTCTTGTCCCTGTTACTGTTTTAATTGTCCCAAGGAATCAGTTGGCACACCCTGATAGGCCTTTTTAAGAACAGGGGGCTAATGTTCCTGTGTGGGCATATGCCTATGTTTCTTTCGTGTACCAGAATGGGAAACAGGTCTTTCTGGCCTGTGTGCTCTGCTCTGTCCCCACTTAGAGCATTTGTTAATCTTTGACCCTCTACTTCCCCCCCTGTTTTCACTTTTGTTGCCCCCTGGAATCTGTTGATGCACACTTAGTGACCCCCCTCTAATACCAGGAGAAGTTAGCAGTTTTCTTTGTGGGTCCCTGCCCATGTTTTCCTACATGCATTAAATGGGCCCGTTTCCCGTTCTGGTTGGTGTGGTATGCTCTGTGTCCCCCTCTGGAGCACTCGTTATTAACCTTTGACCTGTTCTCCCATCCCTGTTTTCAGTTTAGTTGCCCCAGGTATCCAGCTGTATGCTTAATTGCCCCTTCTAACAACAGAGGGGGTTAGCAGCTTCTGTGTGGGCCTGGACCCATGGTGCCTCATGTGTAACAAATAGGCCTGTTTCCCATAGTGGCAGAGAGTGAATGCTAAGGGAAGGGGTATTTATTTAAGCAGGGCCTATTCATACTGATCTGTCCCTACCCTTTTTGTCCTGTAGCTTCAAGCATTTGGAGCACTGTTCCAGGTGCTATAGAAGTGCACAGTTGTTATGATTATGATCATCCTTCTGTTGCAATTGGAAGAGATTTTATAGTTCCTAGTAAACACTTCACATTTGATGTGTATGTATGGAGTATCTGTAGCTGCTCTTACACCTTTTGTCACCTGACTTCCAGCTAGCTTGCAGCTTTGTAACCAGATATGAATGAAAACAGTACAAATCCAACAAGAAATGGGAAGAAAGGTGTGGAGCAGAATTAACAGCTTTAACTTAATTCACTCCTGTTCTTTTAACCAAAAATATTACTGTCTATGGACAGTTTTAGGCATCAGATCAATCATGCTGTGTATGTATATACCTTATACAGAATTCATGAACCCTGAAAACACATAAAGATCCATAGAAATTAACTTGCATAGTTTCTGTGCAGGGCAGTGAGTTTCTATTTTTGCCTGAGTCCTAGGTTATACTGTAACCATGTTCAGGGCCCCAGGTTTAGATGTTTTACAGGGCAGACTTTTCTGCAACCAACACTACAATCAGTAACTTGATTGAAAACAAGCACAGGTGAACAATTGGTTCCAATATTCTGCAATATGTGACTCACTCTGGGACTCAGCATTTGGTGTACTAATGCAGGAGGACCAGTAAGGAACTGAACGTAATTTAGGTGTTGCTTTTGAATTGCCAAAAAATGTGGCAACAGGTGGTGATGAACAGCAAGCTAATTTTTAATGTTTACATTGTATCCACGTAAAAAAGCATAACAGCCATTCTAAGACTCAACAAAAGAGACTCTCAGAAATTACTAAATTAAAAACCTTCTCTCACATCTTTGTTCCACACCCTTCATATTTCAGAAGCAGCTTAAAGGGAGACTTGGTATAAGCCTCCAAGCTTGTAAACAATTCAGCTTTTTATGCCTATTTTGCTGATGTATGGTAGCTTACTGGGAGTAGATTAAAAATGCATTGTGACTGGCGTTCGTTCTCTCACGTTTGATAAATTAAATTAGTTTAATCTTTGTGTAAAGTTTTTGGTGCTTGGGTTTCAAATGCTTAATGAGAATGTTTGGTGTTTTAGGTCATTGATATTTCCCAGCAGAAAACAAACTGGGAACATTTATGATGGCTATAAAATTTGTAGAAGGTAGTCTTTTATAAAATATAATTTGAACCAAATCTAGGTTGGTAGTATTCTTTTTAAGTTGTACTTCTGCAATTGAAAGGAAATAGGGGTGGTAGTGTTGAATAAAAACAATTCATACTGTTTACTTTTTTTTAAAGTACTAATCCAAAAAAAAATCCTTGATTGTGGCTGCTTTTATGTGGTTAACACTTCCCAGATCAAGTTGTGAATATTCTTTTGTTTCAGAAGAGCTGTCACAGGACTGAGAAACTAAAGTACTTTCCCCCCTTGCCTTCAATAGGTGGATAAAATAGTGGATCAATTGCAGCAGTTTGTTCAGAATTATGATCTCACTGCCCTTTGGGATTACTGGAACTATCTTGACCGGCGCCTTTTTAGTCGCTTGGAGGATATGTACCGGCCTACAGTGAACAAGTTGAAAACCAGTTTATTCCGCTACTATCTTGTCTACACTGTTCAGGTGTGGCTTGGTCCATTTTGTCTTGGTGGGTTTTGCTTTAAAATGTTGCTATTCAAGTAAAACAAAAGGAATAAATACCACAGTGAGCATAATAACACGGTGGGTTTGAATACACACAGAATTATTTTCATATTCTGTTAGTTGTGGGGTTGCTGCTGACTAACATGGGGTATGCTCTTTCCTTCCCTTAAGGGCTTAACTGCTTAGTCCTTTTCTGAATGTAAAAATTGCGCTTGTTAAAGTACATCAATTTAACTGAATTGGTGCAAACTCAGTTGCATCAGCAAGGCCCTGTTGGCTATAGAGGATCTCCAAATCAGTGCAGTCTTGTACTCTGTCAGTATACTTGCGGGGGGGGGCGGGTTAGATGCAGTGGTTTCCCATTTAGTTGGTGTTAACTCTCTTTTCTATTGCTGTTTTTGATGCTGCAAGAAGAGTTACTGTTTTATTCCCTATTTTGAACCTAACAAAGACCATATTTTTGGAGTTGTTGTAGTAGAAAGGGAGAGTGCTCAAGTTTCACTCTGCTTCATGTGTTTCAGACAAACCGGAATGACAAGACACAGGAGTTCTTTGTCAAGCTGGCTGCAGAACTCCAGAACCAGGCTGAATGGAAAGACTGGTTTGTTCTGCCCTTCCTACAAGCCCCGGATTCAAATCCCACCTTTGCCACGTATTTCTCGCGACAGTGGGCGGACACATTTATTGTGTCTTTGCACAACTTTCTTAGCGTCTTGTTTCAATGTGTGCATATCCTTTTTGCTTCAGAAGTATACTTGTTGCCAGGTTTCATGTGTCTGCTGAAGTTGGGGTGATGTTAATGTTCTTTTTGGTACATCGATAATGGCAAAGCTCAAATGGAATAGAAATCTTGAGTGCTGTTTTAAGAAGATTCCTCAGAGCAGAGGAGAACAGGGTGTTGGATTGATAAGTGCTTGCCTAAAATCATATTTGGTTATTTAATTTAACAATGTTATAATTCCTGGCCAAGCTCAGCAGTAGCACAAGTGAATCCCACTAGTCAGAAGCTGAGTTTAGTCAAAATGTTAACAATTGGCATTGGGACCACAACTTCTGCCCTGCAGGGGAATGAGGGCACAGATGCAATCGTGGGAGCTATCGGGGGCAGGTGGCATCCACAGGGGGTTGCTGGGGTTCAGGAGGGTTTGACAGAATCAGGGGGGCTCACCAGGTTGCATCTTGAGTGCACCTCCTGTAAGTTGCAGATTTTGCTTTTGAGTCCTTGCTTTCATTTTGTAGCCTATTAAAGGCAGGGACCATTGGAAAGGTATTGCATTACTGGCCATTGGTAAGGTAGGTAAAGTTTGCAGTTGTGATGGTGACTGTGGTTTTGATTAGGAGATTCATTTGCTCCTTTTCCCCTATAGAGGAAGCCTCTAGGATGTTATGCTGGTGCTTTTATAAAAGTGTCATCTTCCAGAAAAATTCTCTCTGATCTTATATGGGGCCACAGAAGTAGCTGAAGGACTGAGGGATTCTGTTAGTAACCAGATCTGAAGGATTTGGGGATTCTGTTGGAAACCAACTCTGAGGCCATTTTTAAGACTTTTCCAAACTAGTGTTCACACTTAAATCAAGCCCATCTTTGGTATTTGAAAATGGCTTCTTTAATATGTTCCATGAGAGTGTCTCAGTCTCGAAACTGCTCACTACAACAGCTTCTACAGCTTAGAAAATACAGGTTCTCTGTGTCTAGGAACCAGGTGTTGATTTTACTTCAACTGTGGACACTACTTAAGTCTTGGAAGCTATTAAGGCCTATTTGCAAGTGACCAAGACCCTAAATAAATGAACAGATGAGCAAAGCCTTGGCTTCAGGCTATAACTATGCTAGACATATCTGTGAGACTTTGCCTGGACAAAGCTGGTAACAACACCTTCATTTAGTGATGGGAAGATTTACATTGTGGTGTCAGCACAGCTTGGAAGTCAGGACGCCTGGGTAACCTTCCTGCTTGAGGTAGTGACTAGCACTTTACCTTTCTAGCTTTACACTTCCCATCTATAAAATGGGAATAATAATACCACTTCAAATAGGTTTTACAAGGGATTAATATTTATAAAAATACCTTAGGATTTGGGTTGTCCCAATAGAGATTTTGGGGGCCAATACAGATAGCTGATTTTTAAGGTGGCATATTGGCTGATACTGATCTGATTTCTGATAAAGCTGTGTTCAGTTGGTGAGTCTTTTGTGGTGAAAGGGAAGGGGGGAGGGAAGAGGCATGGGTGAGCAGATCAATGCCACCCTGTGGTGAGGGAGGGAGTGGGGCTGGAACAGGCGCTGCCCAGGCGGGTGGGGTGGGCTTAGGACAGAGCTGCGGCTCATCTGGGGGGCGCAGAGGCAGAGCGGGGGAAAGGGGCAGCTGCCACCGCTGCACGCCACTCAACCAGGAGCCACTCGTCTGCTCATCTGGTGGCTCCTGCTGCTGCTCCCACTGCTAGTCTGGGAGGGCACAGCGAGGGAGGAGGGGGGGGGGGGGGGGGGGGGGGGCTGCAGCTACCCCAGATCTCACTGTAGTCCCCTGTAGCTCCCTCCCAGTCCCACTGCTGTCTGCCCCGAGCACAGCCCGGCCCCCAGCCCAGGCTGCTCCATGCAGATCCAGGGGTACCCTCTCCCACCCCCCTGTGCCCTCCCAGACAAGTGGCAGGAGCAGCAGCGGGAGCTGTCGGATAAGCACCAGATGAATGGCTCCCGGACAAGTGGTGTGCAGCGGTGGGAGCCGCACCCCCCAGACAAGCCGCAGCTCCATCCCATCCCATGCCTGCCTCTCCCCTCCCCGGCTGTGCAGTGCCTGCCCCAGCCCCACTCCCTCCCTTGCCCTGAGGAGCCTTGATCTGCCCCTCCACGCCCCTTCCCTTCCCCCTCCCCTTCCACCACAACAGATTTACTAGCTGCATGTAGCTCTCCTTGCTGCTGAGCCGTGCTCCTCACCGCCTACGTGCTGTGCTATGGCTGTGCGCATGCATGGGTATTAACTGGCAAATTATCAGTCACTTAAGGTTGATTTCTGATATAGTCAATTTTCTTTATATTGGTGCCGATCTGATATCAGACCGATGTATCAGTGCACCTCTACTTAGGATCCGTAATGGAGGAGAGTGTTGCAGAAGTACAAAGTAGGTGTAGTTAAATACAGCACAAGCCCACTGGAAATCCATGACTTGCCCCCCTCCCTGTGCTTGCTGCATCAGCTACCTAGCATATTTCTCTGCAGGTATTTGCAAATAAGATACAGCCAATATGAGTTCTCACTCTTGGCTTCATTGAAAACACCTTAGCTAAACATCATGCTCATATGATTGCTTTTAGTTTTGTTTCTTTAACCTCCTTCACCTGTGCCAGTGATCTTGAACTTTGATGCTGAATGTCAAAGGATTGCTCTCATCCAGGAAGAAAATGAAATTTTACGTCAAAAGGTTAGAGTTCAAATAGGTCCTGCTTCACTGAATGGAGCTGTTTTTTTCAGGGGTTCAAAGATCTTTCCCCTAGGAAATGTCAGTTTTTAGCAGAAGGCCAAACTTGTGCTTGCATGCTTGATTATGTTGGGTTAAGATAATGGGCTCTTATTCTACCATCGTTTCTGCTTAACTTTGCATTTTGTTGCTAGGTCTTTGGTTTCCAAAAGATAAGGCCTAATCTGTACAATTGCTTCAATAGTGAGTGGAAAAATGACACTAGCATATGCACTTGTGAGGAAAAGTGAAGTATTTTAGTGGGCTCCAATTACACACACACAAAAGAAAGTGATGGTTTTCTGCTACTTTGAATAATGTAATGTTTAGCCAGTCAGAACAACTCTACTTTTAACTCATCCTATTATGGTTGTTGAATGAGTGCTGCCAGGCTGACAAATAATGACACCCAATGCCAAGTAGCGCAGAGGGGAATCCCAGCAAAAGCTTTCCTAACTCAGCTCCGTCCCCTTGTTGTAGCTCTTTGCCTTGCAGGCAGAATCCTACCGAATGAAGAAAGAGCAGCAGCAGGAGACAGAGGAGTCAACTGCCCACCACAAACTGCCTGCTTACGTGGCCAGCATGGACCGTCTGGGGGACTCAGAGCTGTGAGTGTCTAGATGGGGGTGAGACAGCCTACCTTTATTTGTCGGCCCTTTTGTACTCTTGTTCACTCTTTGGTGCAGTCATATAATTGGAGAGTCTGTTTCTTGCCTTTTACACCTAGTATGTAGGGTGATGAGTGTTTCCTTAGAAACTCACCAGGCTAGAATTTCTGTTGGTAAAAATGGGTTGTATATGCCAGAGCATCTCCTCTGGCTTTCTTGTAGTGGGATTGGCATGTTATCCTCTGTATTCCTGCCAGAGCCCTGATGTTCTCTCCCTAGCAGCCATCCATCCCTCAATTATAAAAGTTGTTCCTGTATAGCAGTGGTCAAAATCTGTATTTTGCATCAATGATACCACAGTGCTCAGTACAATTACTGTAGTCTTTGAGAACCGGAGTCTTGCCATATACCTGCCTATCTCGCTAGCTGATGTAAATTGAATAAGGATGCCCTTGGCACTTATAAATACTGTTCCAAAGTGATTCAGAGGGGTGATTAGGTAAGCAAAAGATGCTTTTGACTTCACCTTTTTGCAGGCTTCCCAGTCTTTGTTTCTCTTCTGTACTGCCAATTGATGTTTCTCTTCCATACATACCAGAGCTGGCTCCAGAAATGCTGTTTAAAAAAACAAAACCAAGCCCCAGTTTAGCATTTTGCACCAGTAGATCTTGTCATACACGTGGTGATGTAGATCTTTTAACTGGCTGGCTTGTCGTAGGTTTTGAGAGAAAAAAAGATGACAAGTAAGGCTGGGACTTTAACCTAAATTTGCTTTGCATGTTTACATTCTAAAAGATTCTGCTAGCAAAATAATTTGGTCACACACTATTACTAATATTATTGGAACTTTAACGTCTCCTGTTCCTATTCCGTTTGAGTTTAGGTACTGTTGTGCTAATCAAATTTCTAATGCTGCTGTCAGTAATATACATGAAAGCCTTATCTTTTTGAGTGCATGCGAAGGAATGGTATTTTTTACTCCTTAGCTCCTCACTTTTTATATATTTTTTTATCCACATCAAGTTAATATATAGGATGATCATGATCATGCCTCCAAAATAATTTCTCACCTCCCTCACCTAACTGATTGGACTCTTATACGTTTTCTCCAGCCTTGTAAAAAATTCAGTAAAAAAATATTTTTTAAAGAGTGAGTTTTAGCTTGTTGGGTTAATTCTGAACTCCCTATGAAGGACCATTGATGTGTGCAGTGTGTTTTTATTTATTTAATAATTTTCAATGGATCTTTATGTATGCTGGTTCAGCAGCCTGCAAAAATCTTTGGGTTCTGGAAATGACCCAATGTACAGTCAGTTCTCTGGTGATTGTGTATTGCCAGATGTTGTGCTTGAGTTGCACACTTGTCATGTTCTGATTTTTTCTTTTTGACCAGTGATATGACATGCAGCCAGAAGAACATTGCACACTCTCTTCAGTCCCGAGGAGGCTTCTTATCTTCCCTGCTCTCTCAGGGGAAGAAGGGACCTTCCAAACCAGCCCAGACAACTGGAGCCTCCCCAATGCAGACTGGCAACATACTGTTAGGGAAGAAAGAGACATCAAACCACCAGGTGATTCTCAAATGTGTTTGTTGCAAGGTGATGTTTGAGCCAGAGTGCTCACTTGGGCTACTTTACTTCTTAAGCTTGTACTCAAACTTGGAAAAGACAGCCCATACTTCTGCCTGGATCCCAGAATTGACTAGCAGTCATTCTAGTGCTGTATTGGTCTCAGAACAGTTAAGACTTGATGCTGTCTTGCTAAATGTTTGATCCTGTAGTATTTTGCTTCCAGTTTTATGGTTTGTTCTAAGACACGGGACAGGAATAAGTCTTACAGATCTTCCCTTTCTCTTCCAGAGCACCAAGGGAAAGGAGGGGGCAACCAGCTGCAAAGAAGGCAAGAGTAACTTTGGGTTGACAGCCAGTGAAGCTAATTCTCTGCAGCAGCGTCAGAGGCGTCTGCAGGATCATGGGAAGGAAAGAAAGGAGCTTTTATCCAAAGGATCTTCCCAGGTATTTGGGAATGTCATAGAAGGCCTTGGGACTGTGCAGCAGACTTCGGTTAGACAGAGGCAAATGCTCTTACAAGGTTCTGCACTACCATTCTAATGCCGATTAGCTGGACCAAAGGGTATTTTTTGTAGTTAATCAGTTAACAGTTTTGACACTTGCAAAGTGTTTCTACAGGAGCATAGAAGAATAAATGTAGGACTTGGGTTTTTACGTGGTAGAGGAAGAGTTGTTTCTTACTTCCAACCATCTGCCCTGCGTCGTTCCAGTTCTACTATCTTCATATGTATCTACAGTTCTCTGTCATCAGTGATAGCATCTGCTCAGTTTGGTATAAGCAGTAACCAATTGTCAGCAAAATTAACTTTCCTGCCTTTAAAGCAGTATTGTCTCAGAGAACCCAGCAGCACAAATTCCTGCAAAAGAACCCCTTCTCTTACTGTAACAGCCTGGATCTCTGAGTAGTTTCTGCATTAGCAAATGCAAACAAGTTTTTCTTAGAAACTTAAATGCAGAAGCTTTGAAGCCTCAGGTACCAGGGTTGGCAGTGTCCTTTTTAGAGACTCTTGCACTGTACAGACAGGCCAATTCACTTGGAGTCTGCCCTTGACAGTCTTGTAAAGAAAAAAAAAATCTGTTTTAAGGACTACAAGACCTGCAGGTGTGTGACATCACAGTTCAAGTAATTTGGCTTCCAACAGCCTTGTGTTGCCAGAGCAAATACCCCTGCAAAATGGATGCAGTGGCATCTAAACCTTGCTTATCTTGCCTGCTTAACAAAATACTATGGCTGGAGGCCCCTTCTGAAAAAATGGTAAGGAGTGTTGCTTATCAGTTCTTCCAGGCAGCACTTGTATGTGAGAGGGCACCTCCCCATAGATGTGTGTGTACGTTTAATAAATATTTCAGAGCTCAATGAGAACCCTGTTCTTCTTGCAGTACATGTTTGTGGCAGGTGCTCAGCAAGTGATATTCCAGTCTTTCCCAGTCCTGTTTAGGTTGCTGCTAAGCTATCAGGAAGTGGGTATAGTTAGGTGTGCCTTGTTTCTGACCTGCCTGGGCAAAGGCCTAATTAATATTAATTAATTAATTAGCCAAGCTAATTAACATTATAAAACCAAGGTGGTGGTAGATCCATTTCACAAGCTTCTCCACCCTTGTGACTGCAGAGGATTTGATTCTGCAAGATCTGACCTGTTGTTTAAGACAGGTTGCTTGAAATGTCTCATGCACTCTCATATCTTCAGGTGGTGCTGTAGCAAGGTGTTGTCTTCAGGTTTTTCCATCACTAGCGCTCTCCTCTGCTTTGTGTACAGCTCCTGTCTGTCAAGGAAGAACTGAATTGTGGGTAGGGTGTTGGTACTGATTTCTTGGTACCTTTGGGAGCCAGGAACTGAACAGACTTTATGTATGAATTTAGGTAGATCACTTCAGCTATGCTTTAGTTTTTTTCCTGTGAAATGGGATAGGGAATGGAACGGTCAACATGTTGGTCACTTAAATTGTGATCTCCTTAATATTAAAGGCCAGGACATGCAATAGATTTACACTAGTATAATTCTGCGTGTGGCTTATAGACTGACACAAATGACACTGGGATCAGAAGTAGGCAGGTAACTGGTGGTGTTCAGGGATAGATGCTTGCAGTAGGATTGTTCACAATGCTTTGCCACTAGGTGGCAGAGGAACCTGTAATAGCCGATTTGACTGTCCTAAACTGCTAGTCCCGTGACAACAACATCTCTGGGGATGTGTGATACCTTGCAAGGGTATAATTTTTAATCTGACTTTTCCTGGGCAATTCTACACTAGTTTTGAGCAAGCTGCAGTAGTGTAGACCTGCACTCCTTAATCAACTTCTACAGCATTGCAATCATGGGTTGCACCTGAGCCCTCAGTGTTTGTTTTTTGCATTGTTGTATTTCCACAGTGGGGTTCTGATCTTGATTGGGGCTTTTATAAGACAAATGCAAACATAAATAGCATGAATTTGAAAGGCACAGATGTATGTTTGAAGAGGATTTCAGCATACATATATGTTCACGGTATTTAAAACCTTCACAAACTTGCTGACTAAACTGTCTGTGATAGCCACTCTCTGTAAGGTTAGCATTTGACAACTATAATCCAGAAGCTGTAGTTGTAGAAAGAGCTCCACCAATACCTGCCATGCTCTGGGCTCTTCTCGCAAGGGCAGTCGTGTAGACTGTGACCGCAGTTATACCATTCTCTTTGCAAAAGAACTTCTAACGTTTGAAAGGATTCTAGGTGCTGGCCCATGACTACAGCCAGCTGCACAGCTCCTTGACTTTCAGGATGAGGATGAGCACAAATAGCTTAATTCAGTACTGTTGCATTGTTGGACTTCACAGCGCACTGTTCTTGCTTTTAGGGGCAGAGCATGGAAAGGAAGTTGGAGACTAATGCTACCGAGGCAGAGCCCTCCCCAGAGCCACATGTTGAGCAAGTGGAAACTGTCACCAAAGTTTCTACATCAAGCACAGAGGGTGGAGGCATCCGGCAGGAGCAGCCGTTCATTGTCTTGAGCCAGGATGAGTACGGAGAGCACCATTCATCCATCATGTACTGCAGGTAACAGAGCACTTGTCCTAGGGCAAAGAGGTAATAAGAGCATTTTCTCCTTAGGCTACTATAAGAGCACTTACAGTTTGCTGGCACCAGTATGACCTGTATCAGTGCCTTTGCTGCAGGGAATACCTGTGATCCCCAAGTGTGAAACACCCTAGGAAATCAGAAATGGTATCTGTAAAGTGTATTGCACATACACATTCCATTGAGAGACTTATGCTAAATCTATCATTTCTATATCCATGCATCTTGGAGTATCATATCAGTTCATTCTTTTAAGAGGAAGAATTTTTTAGGTGTCTTTAGAAGGAAGCAACAGTGACCATAAACATGAAGAACAAAGTGTTCACCATTTGCTTTCTTTCATAGGGTTGATTGCTCTGGGCGAAGGGTAGCTAGTTTGGACATGGATGGGGTCATCAAGGTGTGGTCTTTTAATCCTATAATGCAGACCAAAGCTTCATCCATTTCCAAATCTCAACTGCTTTCTCTGGAATGGGCAACCAAACGAGACAGGCTGGTAAGTAGTATGTGTACACTATTGAATTACTACTGATGTCCTTGGGGTGTTCTGTTATCTGGTGTCAGATGCTAAATTTAAAATGAGACTAAGAAAGCATGAAATGGAAAGAAGTCATAAAGTTTAAGGGATGATGAGGAACACAAGCCTTTAGGGTCAGAAGCAGAGTTGGGAATGGAAGTGTGTTCTGAATGAATGAGAAATTCAACATTATTTGCTTTGCTAATTGGAACAGAGGACTGGGAACCAAGATACCTGGGTTCTTTTTTTGGTGTATGCTTTAGCTGTGGCCAGCTGATTTAGCCACTTAATTACAGACTACAGGATAACATTACTTTCTTTCAGGAATGCAAAAGGTGACTTAATTTTCATGAAGGACTTTGAGGTCAATCAGAGGAATGGCAAAATGCTAGTGCTTATCTCACAGAAGAGCAGTCGGAATTTCCATTTAGTCCCTTCTCTTAAGGAACTTTACTGCCACCAGGCTTATAGCCTGTTCCAAGGGCACCTTGCATCATCCTGCTGAGGAAAGAATTCAGTAATGTGGGAATCTCCTATGACAGGAGTTCTATGTTAAATTTATGTTAAATTGTTGATTCCTTGCTTCCAGCTCTCAAATGCCAGCCATGTAACACTACCAGTAGTTCTGCTGATTGTATGGTTCACTTTTCTAATGATTATTAAGGAGATTTAATGTCATTTGGATCTTTCTTGTTTAGAAGCTGCTTCTGCTCCTTCTCATTTTATTATTTATTACTGTTATGGTGGGATTACATTTTAAAAGCAGTGGGGTAACATCTGGGGTTGAGCAGCAGGAGACCAAACTTCAAAGTAAGGAAGATTCAATGTGCTTAAGTTTTCTTTATCACTAAAAGTCAGGGGAGATGCAGCATACCAACTGTACTGACGATGCATATATATTGGGCCTAGCTTAAGTTTCTGTCTCTCTCTGCTGGACAAGAGGAGACATTGCTGTTTCCCTAGTTGTCCGCCAAGCAGGCTGAATACTTACGCTGCAGGTTCCATGTCAGTCTTTTCTGTACCTCTGCTCTCCACTCCTAACCGGAGGACATCTTCTTGTCATCTTTTAGGGGATAACTTATTCCACCTTGGGCACTGATCCTTTTTCCAAAGTGACTACATGCTTTCCATTCCCACCTGAGAATAAAAACCAGTAGAATATAACCAGTCCCTTGGTGACATGTCCCATCCTAGGGTAGAATATGGAGTGGAGTGATATGTAGTTAGAATTGCATTTTCCTGTGGTGTTAATGGTGGTGGGGCAGAGTTGTACTTTTCACTTATAGTTTTACACAGGTTTTTTTTTTTCCTTTCCCTGTCCTGTATGCTGGCTTCAAGCTATTGCTGGGCAGTGGGGTTGGGACAGTTCGTCTCTATGACACTGAAGCCAAGAAGAATCTTTGCGAAATCACCATTGATGAAGAGATGCGCAGGTAACCCTTACAGGCCCTCCCATTCCTCTTGGTTTGTGGAGGAGCAGGTTGGCTTTCAAAGTTTTTCCTGCATACTTTGACTGATATTAAGCAACATCCTCTGAAGCAAGGACTGGCTATCCGCTCTTTTGTGAAACTGCTGTTGGGTAATGCAGTTATTGATGACAGTGCAAATTATTTCTCAGTGTTATCATGTTTCTTCTAGCCATCTGTAGATGTTTTTCCAGAGTGCTTGTTTAAGCCTACAAACTTTAAATGTTTGTAGGAAAGACTGAGGCCGTATTGAAATAAAAAATGATTTCTGCACATCTCAACACACAAATTACCCCCACCACTACTGTATGAGCACATGTTTTTAACGTGCTTTGTATTTGTGCCTTCTGGCTACCCAGGGAGAAACCCCTCAGCACAGATTGTCCTTGCTAGCAAGCAAAGTGCTTTGCACAAAAACGTAAGTGGAGTTGCCAGGCCCAGGGCATCATGAGCCATAGAGAGATCTCATCCTTGTAAGGCTTTCTGTCACTGTTCAAGGAGGGGGT